CCCCCGGCGCTTCGGGTCCGCGAGTCCCGGCCCAGCTTAACGCCGAGGCAGTTCCCGGCGCCTCCGTCAGGGTTGTCGGTGGGGAGGCTGATGAAGCAGTTACTCCAAGCCAGCCAGGTGGGGGCGCGGGAAAGTGGGGGGCTGGGTCCCGGACGCTCCGGGACCCCTGGGGCTCCAGATCTTCCCGCCTACGAGTGCGCGGGGATGGAGTCAGGGTCTCGGGGTTGAGAACGTGGCGGATCGCAGGGTCTCAGCGCGGAGAGGGGGGCGACCGGGGACCCCGTTCGTGCCTCTCCTCCCTTACCACGCGATGGGAGGAGGACGCAGGGAGTGCGGGGACCCTGCCTCGGGCCCGGGGATCCCCGCGCGTGAGCCTAGCGATGGACCCGCTAGACTGCGCCTCCTCGGGCCAGGGTTCTCCTCCCCCTTGGTCTCTCCAAGTCGCCCCGGCCTGGCCCCCAGGTGGGGACACCTAGACCGGTGAGTCAATAGTGTTAGACACACCCCCACGCACGCGCAGAGAATAACAAGACAACACCGCGGGGGCGTCCTGGAAACTTCCCGGAGGAGGAGGCGATGTCTTGGTCGTGGGAGAATGAAGTAGGAGGAGAAATTGGGGATTGGGGGCTGGGAGGAAAGGAGGAAGGACGTTCTGTGCTGAGGAAGCAGGAAAACTGGCCTGGAGGCATGTGGACATTGGTGTGTGTGGACGTTGGTGTGTGTGGAGAAGCCAGTTTGTATTCCAATCCTGCAGCTTCCTTCGGCCACGGCAGGGCTCTCCCTGTAAAACCTGTCATATCCCTGCACCCCTGGACCTGCACTCCGGCTCCCCCTCCTCACCGCCCCCCAATGTTGCGAGAAGCAGGTGAGGGACAGCCTTTGAAATACACATTCCTGAGGTCTCACCCTGCGCCTTCCACACATTGGCTCCTGAAAAGCTGCTGGGATGAGCAGATTCTCTTCTTGTTGCCTCAGTCCCAGGCCTAGGCTCTCTCTGTCCTCCATCTCTCCCCTTCTCTGGATGCTGCCTGGGCGATGTCGGGGTTCCTGCTGGGAGCCCTGGGGGACAGGAGTGCCCTTCTGGGAGATAGTCCTACAGGAGGATCAGATGGGGAGGGGAGATGGACTCCCTGCTGATTCTGGGCGCTCTGAGGGGTCTCTGAGGGCAGGCGCATCTCCTGACCTGGGATACAGTCTGCGAGGCCAAGGTAGGAGCTACAGACCTTTTGGCCTTTCCAGCCTAAATGGAGATTTAAAAATATAAGTGCAGCGCTCGCTGGTTTTGCTCAGTGGATAGAGCGGCAGCCTGCAGGCTGAAGGGTCCCGGATTCCATTCCTGGCCAGGACACATGCCTGGGTGCTGGATCCCCAGTGTGGAGCCAGCAGGAGGCATCTGATTCATGATTCTCTCTCATCACTGATATTTCTCTCTCTCCCTCTCCCTTCCTCTCTGAAATCAATAAAAATATTTTTTTTTAAAAAGAATGTTAGGTCTAAGTATCCAAGTGCCAAGATCCAGAAACTCTGCCTCACAGCCTTGTTCTTCCTCCTGCCTCCTGCTGGAAGGCCTTTCCCTCCAGGCTGCCCTTTAAAGGCCCTTCTTCCTTAATGCAGGTGGTCTGCAGGTGAACAGTGACACTGAGATGAGTTCGGCAAGCAGGATTGAGCTAAGAGAAGCAGAGGGCTACTGCTCGCTCAGGCGTGTAGCAAAACCTCCAAGGCTCTCATGGCTTTTGTTTGGGGAGTACAGCAAATAACAATGGAGTACAGCAAGTGACAATGGTAAACAGGCATGCCTATGAGATCATCTGAGCTAAGTTATACATTAAACTATTAATTTCCTA